CTGAGGCAGATGAATCACTTGAACCCGGGAGGCAGAGGTGGCAGTGAGCAGAGATCACACTATTACACTCCAGCCCGGATGACAAGCAAGAGCGAAACTCTAGGTCAAAAAAGAAAAAAAAAATCACTAACTCTGGGCGCTAGGTTTGATCGCCTTCTTGGCCTTGCTACCTGAAGCAGTGCTGTGGTTTGAATGTGTGTACCAAAAGGCATACGTTGGAAACTCAATCTCCAATGCAACCATGTTGAGAGTTGAAGGCTAAGAGAAGGTGTTTAGGTTATAAGGACTCCACCCTCATGAATGGATTAATGCCAATTATAAAAAGACTTGAGGCTGTGAGTTCTATTTCTCTCATGCACATGTGAGTGTTCTTTTTCCTTTCTGCCTTCTGCCATGGGATGGTGGACTAGAAGGTCCTTACATAATGCTGAGCAGATGCTGGCACCATGCCCTCAAGCTTCCCAGCCTCCAGAGGCAAAACAAAATAATTTTTTCTTTTTTTTTTTGAGATAGAGTCTCACTCTATCACCCAGGCTGGAGTGCAGTGGCACCATCTCAGCTCACTGCAACCTCCGCCTCCCAGGTTCAAGTGATTCTCCTGCCTGAGCCTCCTGAGTAGCTGGAATTACAGGTGTACACCACCACACCCGGCTAATTTTTGTATTTTTAGTAGAGACAGGGTTTCACTACGTTGGCAAGGCTGATCTCGAACTCCTGACCTAGTGATTCACCTGCCTCAGCCTCCCAAACTCTGGGATTACAGGCATGAGCCACTGCACCCAGCCTAATTTTTTTCTTTTTCTTTTCTTTTCTTTTTTTTTTTTTTTTTTTTCTTGAGACAGAGTTTCACTCTGTCGCCCAGGCTGGAGTGCAGTGGTGCAATCTCGGCTCCCTGCATTCTCTGCCTCCCAGGTTCAAGTGATTCTCCTGTCTCAGCCTCCCCAGTAGCTGGGAGACTACAGGTGCATGGCACCATGCCCAGCTAATTTTTGTAATTTTAGTAGAGATGGGTTTCACCATATTGGCCAGGCTGGTCTCGAACTCCTGATCCACCTGCCTCGGCCTCCCAAAGTGCTGGAACTACAGGCACACACCACCACTCCTGGCTAATTTTTGTATTTTTTTTTTTCTTTTTCTTTTTAAAGACGGGGTTTCACCATGTTGGTCAGACTGGTCTTGAACTCCCGACCTCAGGTGATCTGCCCGCCCTGGCCTCCAAAGTGCTTGGATTACAGGCGTGAGCCACCGCACCCGGCCTAATTTTTGTATTTTTAGTAGAGACAGGGTTTCACTATGTTACCCAGGCTAGTCTCAAACTCCTGACCTCGTGGTCCTCCTGCCTCAGACTCCCCAAGTGCTGGGATTAAGCCACCGTGCCCAGCCTAAGATTTTTCTTTATAAATTACCCAGTTTGTTGTATTATAATAACAGAGAATGAAATAAGACAGGCAGTGTTAGAGACAAACCTTGCAAACAACTTTGTAAGATAAGAACCGCTAAGATGTTCATTTTATATATGAGAAAACAGAGGTTTACAGAAGTAAAGTTGATTGTGATTCCAAAATTGAAGCAAGAAGCAATGTAAGCATGGGAAATAAGAGCTCCAGGGCTCAGCCTCTGGATTTTGTATAAGAATGAATTGGTTTTTGAATGAATTGGTTTTTATATAAATTGGTTAACAGTGTTGACTCAGATGCCAGATTGCCTGGGTTTAAATTCTGGCTGTGTTACTTTCCACTTCTGTGATTTTGAGGGGGCAAGTTACAACTTCTTTGGGTCTTAGTTTCCTCATATGAAAAAAAATGTGGAAATGACTATCCTTACCCTTTGTTATAAATTAAATGACTTAATATGGGTGAAATATTTAATATAGTGCTCTGGATATAAGAAGTGCTCAATAAATGTTAGCCATAATTATTATTATAATCATCATTGAAACTAAGTTTGCCTGGTAGTAAAGATCAAATAAAATGAGGTGCAGAGGTGTCAGTCACTTATCACACAATTTTGTGCTTAAATAATGCTTTCCAGCATTCAGAGAACTTTCATATTCATTTTATCTTGCATGATTCCATCACTACAACGCTATAGGTAAGTACAGTCAATTAGGCCATCTCCATTTTATAAATTCATCCATTCAACAGCATTTATCAAAGACCCTTATGTACATTGCTATGTTCTGAACATTCACAGATGTGAACGTATGGCCCCGTTCTTACATTAACAAAAGCTATCTTGGGGAGTGTGTGTTGTTGTGTTTTTGTTTGTTTTCTGAGACAGAGTCTCGCTCTGTCACCCAGGCTGGAGTTCAGTGGCACTATCTCGGCTCACTGCAACCTCCACCTCCCAGGTTCAAGCAATTCTCTTGCCTCAGCCTCCCCAGTAGCTGGGATTACAGGCATGAGCCACCACACCTGGCTAATTTTTGTATTTTTGTTAGAGATGGGTTTCACCATGTTGGCCAGGCTGATCTCCAACTCCTGACCTCAAGTGATCCACCCACCTCCGCCTCCCAAAGTGCTGGGATTACAGGCGTGAGCCACCGTGCCCAGTTGGGAGTGTTTTGTTGTTGTTGTTGTTGTTTGAGACAAAGATTTGCTCTTGTCCAGGCTGGAGTGCCGTGGCGCGATCTTGGCTCACAGCCAACCTCTGCCTGTTGGGTTCAAGTGATTGTCCTGCTTCAGCCTCTGAGTAGCTGGGATTACAGGCATGTTCCAGGGATTGTGTTTTTAAGGGACATTTTACTTTCTATACTTCATTTGAATTTTGTATATATTTATTTATTTATTATGATTATTATTTTGAGATGGGTTTTCCTCTGTCGCCCGGGCTGGAGTGCAGTGGCATAGTCTCGCTACTTGCAACCTCCACCTCCTGGGCCCAAGCGATCCTCTCACCCCAGCCTCCCAAGTAGCTGAGACTACAGGTGTGCACCACCAAGCCAGCTAGTTTTTTGTATTTTTAAGGGGCAGTTTTGCCAGGCTGCCCAGACTGGTCTCAAACTCCTGAGCTCAACTAATCCGCTTGCCTTGGCCTCCCAAAGTGCTGGGGTTACAGGCATGAGCCACCACGCTGGTCCAGAAATGGCAGTTAAGCGGAGACATAAAAAAATGAGTAAAAGTTTGCCAAATGAGTGAAAAGAGAATTTTAAGCAGAATAAGTATGAATGAGCATGATATATCCCAAAAGAATTACCTACTGTTCAGTGTTGCCTGGCATGAAGCGAGGGGCAAATAATGTAACTTAAGGCTAGCTAGGTAAGGAGTCAAATAATGAAAGAATGAACTATGTAGAGATGTTCAGAATTTGCCCTATAGGAATAAAATTATCCCTATGAAGAATTTTATGTTGGGGAGAAACATGGTCAGATCTGTCTCACACTGTTGGCAGTGTGTGTGATGGAAACTGATAATTCTCTAAAAGGCTAACGTGGTCGACGCAATACTAACACCTGAATGCAGATCTTCTGAGCCCAAGTTTAGTGAGTTTTCTATTAAGCCATGCTGACTCCTCTATAAAGCAATAAATAAAAGATCCCACTATTAACTGTATTGATTTGTTAGTGAAATTTAAACTTGTGGCTAAGGGAATGAGAAACTATTTTATGTAATCACTAAGCAACCATACCTTGTCTTTTATCCCTTTGGGGGGACATGCCTATTAAAAGTACTTTTCTCTTGAATTTCATCTCTTCATTTGAATGGAAGTGAACTTACGATTCATTAATGCTTCAGATATGTGACAGCATCATTTCCACTGAACAATTTGGTTCAGGGCCTACATATCCTTTATAAATTCATATTTTTGTATTAAGTTTAATTTCTACTGATACAGTGTAATTCCATTTTCTCCAGTTCATTTCTTAAGATTATGTATCAAGTGAAAAGATGTAAGGTCAGCAGCCTTTAGTAGGAGAGCTTGCTTCCTTCCTGAGCCCATAACCACTCTTGGTGTGTTGAATCCCCTCTTTACTTCACGCTCCAGTCCCCATCGGAGGGCTTCAGTCAGCCTCATGTGCAGCAAGCTGGCTGGCAGGGAATCTGCAACTTGGTGTGACAATGCTTTTGCTTCCCATACTCCTTGCCCCACCCACCCAAACCCCAGAGTCCATGCTGTCTGGCAGAAGAGAAGGGAAAGGGCCAGGCGCGGTGGCTCAAGCCTGTAATCCTGGCACTTTGGGAGGCCAAGGTGGTGGATCACGAGGTCAAGAGATCGAGACCATCATGGCCAATGTGGTGAAACCCCAACTCTACTAAAAATACAAAAATAAGCTGGGCGTGGTGGCACACACCTACAGTCCCAGCTACTCCGGAGGCTGAGGCAGGAAAATCACTTGAACCCCAGAGGCAAAGGTAGCGGTGAACTGGGATCTGCCACTGCACTCCAGCCTGGCGACAGAGTGACACTGTCTCAAAAAAAAGAAAATAAAGAAAATAAAAAGAAGGAGAAGAAGGTCCTATACTATTAGCACTCCCTTGGCTTTTTCTTCGTAGAGCGCAATCCCATTAATCTGAAAGCATTCCACGGGTTCCCCAACTCCCCAGATCTTCACGGTTGGTATGATCCTATGTGATCATCAGAGCTTTAGTCTCATTCATCCTAGGGATGGTATCATCATTCTGGCAAAATTCATGTCATCAAATGTCTCTTTGCCATCTGTGTTCCACTTCCTGCTTGCTGGAACAAGAGGTATTTTTCTGTCACTCCTGGGGCTAAGTTCAATTTTTTCCACTATTCCTAGCAACATGGTCTTTTTATTCATGCACTCACTTGTTCATTTATCCATTCTTTTTGAGTGCTATTCTATGCCAACTACTGTGCTACTTACTTGGGGCACAGTATTGAACAAAACAGGTCCTTCCATCATGAATCTTCTGCTCTAGTGACCCTGATATTGGGGGAAGGGGTTGTTAAAAGTAAAGAACAGCTTGTTGACTGAGACCGGGAGGAAATGAAAGCATCTACAGTTGCCAACAGCGTAATTGATGCATCTTAAGTAAGAAGTTTAAACATATTTTAATGGTTATATATGAGCATGATTGCTATTTTCAATTTAATTAGAGGGAAGCCAATATGCCACCTCTTAACATATTGCACTACAGTCCATGAGAATGGGGCTATTTGTTTAAAAGTTAACATGATTCTTCAAAACACTAAAAATAGAATTACCATATGATCCAGCAATTCCACTTCTGAGTATATATCAAAAAAAACTGAAAGCAGGATCTTGACAAGATATTTGCATACCCATGCTCATTGCAGCATTACTCCCAATTCCCTAGAGGAGAAGCCGCCCAAATGCCTGTGAACACACGAAAGGATAAAAAGAATGTGGCATATACGTACAAGGGAGTATTATTCAGCCTTATAAAAAGAAGGACATTCTGTCACATGCTACAACCTTGAGAATATTATGCTGAATGAATAAGCCAGTTATAAAAGGACAGATTCTGTAGGATTCTACTTATGTGAAATATCTAGAGTCAAAATCATGGACACAAAAAGTAGAATGGGCCGGGCACGGTGGCTCACGCCTGTAATCCTAGCACTTTGGGAGGCCAAGGTGGGTGGATCACCTGAGGTCAGGAGTTCAAGACCAGCCTGGCCATCATGGAGAAACCCCATCTTAAAAAAAAAAAAAGGTAGAATGGTGGTTCCCTGGTGCTGGCAGGAAGGGGAAATAAGGAATTGTTTAATGGGTACAGAGTTTCGGTATTGCAAGATGAAAAGTTCCAGAGATCTGTTATACAATAATGTGAATATAGTAAACATTACTTAGTTCTACACTTAAAAAATGGTGAAGTGAATTTTATATTACATGTATTTTACCACAATTTTATTTTATTTTATTTTTTGAGACACAGTCTCATTCTGTTGCCCAGGCTGGAGTGCAGTGGCATGATCTTGGCTCACTGCAACCTCTGCCTCCTGGGTTCAAATCATTCACCCATCTCAGCCTCCCAAGTAGCTGGGATTACAGGCACATGCCATCACACCCGGGGCTAATTTTTGTATTTTTACTAGATAAATGTTTCACGATGTTGGCCAGGCTGGTCTCGAACTCCCAGCCTCAAGTAATCTGCCCACATCAGCCTCCCAAAGTGCTGGGATTATAGGTATGAGCCACACAACCATGCCTAGCCCACAGTTAAAAACAAATTTAAAAAAATATTTTAGGGCCGAGTGTGGTGGTTCATGCCTATAACCCCAGCACTTTGTGAGGCTGAGGCGGGCGGATCACAAGGTCAAGGGATCGAGACCATCCTGGCCAACATGGTGAAACCCCATCTCTACTAAAAATACAAAACTTAGCTGGGCGTGGTGGAGTGGTGGCATGCACCTGTAGTCCCAGCTACTCAGGAGGCTGAGGCAGGAGAATTTGCTTGAACCTGGGAAGCAGAGCTTGCAGTGAGCCGAGATCCGGCCACTGCACTCCAGCCTAGTGCCTGGCGACAGAGCAAGACTCTGTCTCCAAAAAAAATAAATAAATAAATTTAGGCTGGGTGTGGTGGCTCACACCTGTAATCCTGGCACTTTGGGAGGCCTAGGCGGGTGGATCACCTGAGGTTGGGAGTTCAAGACCAGCCTGACCAACATGGAGAGACCCCATCTCTACTAAAAATACAAAATTAGCCAGGCATCGTGGCGCATGCCTACAATCCCAGCTACTTGGGAGGCTGAGGCAGGAGAATGGCTTAAACCCGGGAGGTGGAGGTTGTGGTGAGCCAAGATTACACCACTGCACTCCAGCCTGGGCAAAACTCCATCTCCATTTGTACAGCAAATACAAATATAAAAACTATTCTTGCTATCCAGTCTGCTAATTAACTTCAAATCTGAAATAATATGTTTTTGTAAGATTCAGTCACCCTGTAAGTATTCATTAGTGTGTCAAGCATTGGCTAACAGATACAGCAACGGACAGTGGACAAGATCATTGCCCTCAAGGGCCCAATCTTTTTAGCAAGTGAGACAGGTATTAAACAAGTAAGCAAAAGTATAGATTGTGATCACTGCTAGGAAGGAAATAATCAGGGTGGTGAATGGAGAATGACTTCAAAGGCAGAGACTCCTTAGCTAACAATGCAATATCAGACTGGATGTGGTGGTTCACACCTGTAATCCTACCACTGTGGAGGCCGAGGCGGGAGGATCCCTTGAGCCTAGGAGTTTGAAACCAGCCTGGACAACAATAGAGAGACCCTAACTCTACACAAAAACTAAAAATAAAAAAATTAGCCAGCATGGTAGTAGGCTCCTGTAGTCCTAGCTGCTCAGGAGGCTGAGGCAGGAGGATCACTTCAGCCTAGGGATTAAAGGCTACAGGGAACTGAGATCATGCCACTGTACTCTGTCCTGGATGACAGATCAAGACTATCTCAAAAACAAAAAAAGCAATATCAAAAATGTAGCTTATTTGCTAATACTGTTAGCCTCTCAAAGAAAAACAAGGGTGGGAGTGATTACAATATGTTATCTTTCAGTCTTTTAAATTCTACCTCAGGTTTGTATACTTGCTGTTTCCTCCGCCAATAATGTGCTGTCTTCAACTTTTAACTCCTTATCTTTCAGGGCTCAATTCAAATGTTGTCTCCTAAAAGCAAAGCTTTCCAAAAAGCTAGCAAGGTTTACACATACCATACTTCTGCAGTCATGTGCCACATAATAACACTTCAATGACAGATCACATATATGATGGAGGTCCCATATGATCGTAATGAGTATTTGGGGTTTTGTTTTTTTTTTTGAGACGGAGTTGCTCCTGTCACCCAGGCTGGAGTGCAGTGCCGTGATCTCAACTCACTGCAACCTCCGCCTCCCAGGCTCATGGGATGCAATTCTCCTGCCTCAGCCTCCTGAGTAGTTGGGATTATAGACGTGAGCTACCTAGCTCAGACTTTTTTTTTTTTTTTTGAGACAGAGTCTTGATCTGTCACCCAGACTGGAGTGCTCTGGCACGATCTCCAATGACTGCAACCTCCACCTCCTGGGTTCAAGCAATTCTTGTGCCTCAGACTCCTGGGTAGCTGGGACTACAGGCACCCGCCACCACGCCCGACTAATTTTTGTATTTTTAGTAGAGATGGGGTTTCACCATGTTGGCCAGGCTGGTCTCAAACTCCTGACCTCAGGTGATCCACCCACCTTGGCCTCCCAATCTGCTGGTATTACAGGCATAATCCATCATGCCCAGCCCCTTCTGTATGTTTAGATACACAGATACTTACTATTGCGTCACAATTGCCTACAGTATTCAGTGCAGCAACATACTGTGTAGGCTTGTAGCCTAGGAGCAATTAGATATCCACATAGCCTAGGTGTGCAGTAAGCTATCCCATCTAGGTGGTATAAATATACTCTGTCATGTTCTCACGACAAAATTGCCTAATGATGCATTTCTCAAAATGTATTCCCATCATTAAGTGATGCATGACTATATTTCTTTTCTGTTTTTTGTTTGTTTGTTTTTTTCAGACAGTCTTGCTCTGCTGCTCAGGCTGGAGTGCAGTGGCACAAACGTGGCTCACTGCAACTTCTGCCTCCCAGGTTCAAGCGATTCTCCTGCTCAGCCTCCCAAGTAGCTGGGATTACAGGTAGCCTGCCACCATGCCCAGCTAATTTTTTTTTATTTTTAGTAGAGACAGGGTTTCACCATGTTGGCCAGGCTGGTTTTGAATTCCTGACCTCAAGTGATCCACCTGCCTCGGCCTCCCAAAGTGCTCAGATTACGGGGGTGAGCCACCAAGCCCAGCTGTCTTTTCTGTTTAATTCACCTAGTTTGTATTTTTTTTCCTTTCCTGCCTTTAAAAAAGTTAATAATGTTTTGTTTATTGTTCTATTTTTCCCTCATTAACTTGTTATACATTCTCTTAGTGGTTAACCTAGAAATTACACATGAACACTTAACTTTTTACAATCTGAAAGAAATCATTACTTTTCCTACTTCTTAACAAACCTAGAACCTTAAAACACCTTAAGTCCATTTACCTCCTTCCTATCTTTTTCATTGCTTTTGTGCATTTTAATTGTATATATACATATTTTTAATTCCATGGCACCTTACTAGTCCTGCTTTGTACACACAATATTAATTTATACCTATGCACATATTTACTACTTGGGGAGATCTTTATCATTTTTATTACTAGGATTCTGTTTGGAATCTCGTTTTCCTTCTACCTGAAGAGCCCCTTTTAGTGTTTCTCTTAATGCAGGGCTGCTTGTGACTAAATCTGTCCATTTTTGTCTATAAATATAGTTATTTAACAATTTTTTGTTATAGAATTCTAAGTTGCCTGTTTTTTTTTTTTCTTTTAACATTTTAAGGACCTTTTCTCCCTGTCTTTTTTTTTTTTTTTTTTTAATAGAGACAGGGTTTCACCATGTAAGCCCAGACTCATCTCAGACTCCTGAGTTCAAAGCAATCCACCTGCCTTGGCCTCCCAAAGTGCTGGGATTACAGCACTTTTTGGATCTTTTCTCCTTGTCTTCTTTCATTTTTTTCTGTTGTCAGTTGTTACTGTAATTAGTATTTCTATGAAGGTATTGTGTGTTTTTTCTCTAGTTGCTTCAAGAGTTTCACCCCCCACCTTTGGATTTCTGCAGTGAAACTGATAATGAACCTATGTGTACTTTTCTTTTTAATTACTCTGTTTAGAGATGCTGGGCTTCTTGAATATGGGATTATTTTCATCATTTTTGGAAAATTCTTGGCCATTGTCTCCTCAAACGTTAAATTTGCTTTGTTCTCTCTGTCCCTGCACCATCTGTGGCTCCAGTTATACATATATTAGACCCTGACTGTGTCTCCTGTGTATCTGAAGCTTTCTGGTTATCTTTTCCCACTCGTTTTTCTCTTGTACTTTATTTTAAATTTTTGTTTGTTTGAGACGGAGTCCCACTCTGTCGCCCAGGCTGGAGTGCAGTGGCACTATCTCAGCTCACTGCAACCTCCACCCTCCCCCCCGCCCTACTCTCCCCCCAACTAAGTTCAAGTGATTCTCCTGCGTCAGCCTTCCGAGTAGTTGGGATTACAGGTGTCTGCCACCATGACCCACTAATTTTTTGTATTTTTAGTAGAGACGAGGTTTCACCATCTTGGCCAGGCTGGTCTTGAACTCCTGACCTCATGATCCGCCTGCCTTGGCCTCCCAAAGTCCTGGGATTACAGGCGTGAGCCACCACGTCTGGCCTTTTCTGAATATTTTAATTAACCTATCTTAGTTTTCTGCTGCATCTGATTAGAAGTTAAATTCATCCATTGAGTTAATTCAGTGACAGAATGTCCATTTGAATTTTTATACATGTTAATGTTACTGTTGAAGTTATCCACCTTTTCATCGTTTTAAATGTTTCATATATTAATCAGTAAAAGTTTCAACTTTTTTTTCATTCAGGAAGTTCCTAAATTATTATTTTAAGGCTTTTTCTGTCAATGCTAATATTTGAATCTCCTTTTATTGTGTTTTTTCCCTCTAGATTATCTGTCTATGGTTTTGTCTTTTTACATGCCTATTTTGAATTTAATTTCAGACATTATGTGTGTATGTGTGCACACACACAGAGCCCAGATGATATTATTTTTCACCAAAGATGGTTTCTCTTTTCATGATTTTTCTTTAATTTCATATTTTGTAGAGCTAAAATATTGCTATGTTGCTCAGGCTGAAGTGCAGGGGTTATTTACAGGTGCAATCATAGCACACAACCACCTTGAACTCCAGGCCTCAAGGGATCCTCCAACCTCAGCCTCCTGAGTAGCTGGGACTACAGGCTTGCACCACCATTC